ATATTAGTCTGATGTTTAGAGAATGTGTCTAGTAGGCTTAGCTTTATCATTTTATCAAGGTACCAAAATAGCCCACAGTTGTTTGCTCCTGACAGGTTAATTATGAGGTAAAGTATGTGGGCAGCTAAATAAAATGTATTGTTGTTAATTCCAAGAATAAGGTAGGGAAAAGGGTAACATTAAAAACATACAAGCTAATCAAAATATTTTTCATATCTTTATATGGTGAAAGGCAGAGGAGCTTTGTCTAATAGTCACCAAATTTAACTATATTTAGAAGTACATGGCATGTATAGCAATATCTATCTAAACCAACTTTTGGATCATAAAGAACAGCTTTTCTTCTCTCTCTGTAGACAACCCAGGCTGTGATTCCACCCAATAAGGAGGGATTGGATACAAAAACTCAGAAACTTTCCAAAGCTCTGAAGAGAATAAGTGTCCAAATAAGTATCTGTCTTGAACATTCCACTTTTCTAACAGTTAATCCTCAACCTAAACAATGGATATATTTACCAAGGGGATCTAAGACTACAGTGTCAGTGGGATTCCAGTATGGCAAATGTAAAACTCTGCTGGGCTGCCAGAACTTAAGCCATAAAGTATTCCTGATGAATACAGTTATATTGTGCAGAGTTAATCAGAGAAAGTAGGACTACAGGCATCTAAAGAGGTCATTCAGGGCAGCCTCCAACCCAAAGGCTGGATCAGCTATACATAAATCAGTAGAGGTGTATCTATCTACTCTGTTTTTAAGAGCCATCAGGGTTGGATTTTTATACTAGGGCAGTACGTTCCAGAATTTTCCTGTCTTGCAAGACAGAAAGTGTTTCCCCATCCATAATCTCAGTTTCTCTTGCTGCAATTCAAATGATTGTGCTTCATGTATTTGCCACAATGGACATGGAAAACAATTTCATTTCCTCCTTCTTTGCAGGTAACCTTTATGAATTTAAAGATGAATTGTCACGTCTCTCCTCAGTCCTTTTTCCTTCAATGTGATGAAAGTTGTATTACAAAACTACTACATTTCAGAGGATCTGTAGCTTTCGGAGGTGGGGGATCCCTTCATTAGCCATGGTTCCCTTCCTAGGTGGAGATTTGCTATGATCATGTAGTCCTCGCATATAGCATCTGCAGGGCCAGCAGTGTATCTGATCAATCATATGCACATCTGTTAATCTCAGAAAATATCCTTGAATTCTGCTTTTTCTTGGGTGGTGTTGAAGGTAGCAGGACCCACCAAACACACTATTTGAATGCTCTGTACTACCCACTGTAGTTCTAGTGGTTAAGAGAGTCATGCCAGGTCTCATGGTTCTCTTCCTGATAAAACAAAAACTTTCTTAATGGTGAAGATTGTTTAGCACAATACCTTCAGCTGATTGCTTTTACCTTGCCCCTCAGATTGCCCACTGGTAAAATCAGGAGGATAGCACGAAGTCAGGATGACTGACACGAAAAGTGCTATCTGAGAGCAAATGAGTCATGCTCCTATATATGAACTTATTCTCACTGGGACTGCAGTGACCTCTCTTATTGCTAGGGTCTTCTTGGAATAATTGGCTACCATCTGATTTTTGAAAAAACTAGGAAGTAATAACACATTATACCATAGACAAAATTCATAGATTAAATCCATCTCTGATCAGAGTGTTGCATATATATTAGTAAGGGTAGAGGAGTTAAGAAGAATTCTATCCAGTTTTAATACATCAGTCTGAAGTAAGAGCAATTAACAAACCAGTCTATAAATCAATGGCTTATTTATCAAATTAATATTCCTTGTTCAGAAAAGCATACTTCCTCACTTTCTTGTGAAAACTTAACCTACTAGTTTGTGTATAATTCAAGAGTCAAGCAACACCTGCATTGTGCTGTTTGCAGAACCAGGAAAAAGATGAGAATGAAGTAGTGTTTAATGATCAGTCTTTTCATTAACTCCTTGAGACTTATTCCTGAATTCGTTAGTTTCAAAACTTTTCTACTATTGTAGTTAACTGCAGATCTTTATTTTTAAATCACACCGCCACATAGCTTTCCAAACTGATCTATTTCCAGATTTTCTGTCAATGACTCAGCTAGGGTCATGATAGCTTTTAAATGATTGATCGGGGCTCAGTGATTTTTCTAGAATCAGGCCTGAACACAAGGTGCCTCCGTCAGCCAGGGTTGCAATGAGAAAATTCTCTGCTCTCTTGTGTTGCTGCCCTTTAATATAAAAGAGCTCTGAAAATCCTTGCTGCAGCTGCTGAAAAAGGCCTGCTGTCATTTTTTTCAAATGGCATTTGAAAAATAGATTATGATGAAAGATAGGCATAAGCTCCTTACCTTTTTTTCTTAAGGAACACAGTTCTTGCAGGAGTTTACAAAGGTTAGCCATTTTTTAGCACTCAGCTTTTTACCTTTTTCCCTACTTGGTCTCTTAGTCTTTACTGTATGTGGTTATATTTGGTTCATGTGCAATATAGATTACACAAGCACAACTCATTTGTTGGTTCCCAGTTTTTTTCTCTATAGCTTAGCTCATTTTATTCATCCTTAGGGAATTTCATGAAATTTGTCAGTAGACTTCCTTAATTTTTTTTTTATTTTATTGAAAACTATACTGTAACATTTACTCTGTCTGTATTTAACCTGCCTAAAAATATTTAAATCTTTTAGAAGAATGTCCTGTAGGTTTTCAGTTGTTACAGTATGAGAGAAAGGCAAACCAATTGATCTGGAAAAACTCATCACTGCTCATTCAACATTCACACATAAGAAAAAATGGGAGCTCTTTAGCCACTTCATGAGGTTTACTGGGCTTTAAGAGCTAAAAATAATTTATGTCTTAAAGGACTTCCAGAAAACAATTTAAGAAACTTATCAGTATGAGCTCCAAAGCATTCCTCGTTGTACATGATCATGTTTTGTACTTGTTTTGTAAAGTCACAAAGCTTCTCTTTTCCCTAAACTGAAGGGAAATATTAGCAATTGTTATTTACAAAATGAATGCTGAAAAGGTTTGCAACTGTGCATGTGGGAAGTTTTGGAGCATCTTCCTCATCTTGGCTACAGTTATAAACTTAGATCAACTTTTCCTAAAGCTTTTTAAGAATTTGACACCCATTTAACAGCTTATTCCATAGAATCACATGAATTGTCACTGAATCTTTAATCAAAGAGTGTGCAATACTCACAAGACACAGTTTAAGTGCTTGCATTGATTTTTCTGTTGGAAAGTCATCAAATACAATTCATAGTTTCTCTGATGTTAGACACGTTGTACTCTGTACTTTCTGCGGTATCAATCAGGACAGATGGAGGATCTCCATCAGATGACAGAAGAGGCATTTGTCAAACCCTGCAAATCATTAGCAGCAACAAAGCAATAAGGGACATGGGTTCAACTTACAAGAGTCTTGCATATGGATAAAAAGTAAAGTGAAAAGTCATGAAAGAAGTACTATGAACCTTGTCATTTCAAACCTCCATTAACCTTAAGGGCTAGCATGTTGCTTAGCTCCAAAGCAATAGGCAGAGCTAGTGCTAGCTGGCACCATGCCAAAAGACTGCCAGGGGAAAAATCTGTTATTCTGAATTCACAGGCTCTTTCCTGACTCCTGTTGCCCAAGTGAGGGGGAGGAAGAGTCTCTCCAGCTAGCCGATGCCATCTCAGCATCTTCTTTTCTCTTCTGAGCCAGCTCAGGGACTAGTTGACACACTTAAGAGGGCAGTGGATGTGTGAGGAATGATACATACTTACCTCCCTTTGGCTTTCTTGTGAGTTAAGGAGACTCAGACCCCTATAGTCAGTACCAGGCCAACATTGTCATCTAGATAAACAGCAGTATCTGCTGTCGCACATACGAGCTATTTACCCAAGAAGCTAGGAAGTGCTTTTGCATAGTTTTGAGGCCCAAGCCATGGCCTCTGCATTGCTATGAGATGGGAAATATGCCTAGAATCTTATCCCTCCCCACTAAGGCATCCTGACAGTCACAACTAACTCAGCTACTTTCATAGCCCAGGGAATCTGAAACCACTTTGGTGTAAAAGGTCGCTCTTGTCAGAGATGTGACTTTCAGGCTTGAGTGTCACCTTCCATTTGAAAAGCTCTTCAGATCTAACTCCAGTTCTTGAAATAAGAATTCTCTCCTGAATCCCTGTTCTTTGATTACTTTAGCCAGACACAAAGGCATTTTCCCAGCTGCATAACTGTTGAATGCCTGTTTTGCTCAGTGTCACATACATTCTTTCATAAATCTCCATTTGCTAAAGTTAGCTGATCAACTTCATGTTTTTAATACTAAAAGTACATGAAATGGATTTCCCAGTATGAGTTTTTCATTTGGGCAGCCTCTTCAGGGAAATTATTTGGTTGTGAATGGAAGAGGAAGTACTCATCAAATAACCTCTTTGTTTGGGTTACACCATTTTTATGAATGCCTTGGATATGGGAAGTACCACAATTAACTTCAGGTTTCAAGAGGCTTGTACTATCATAATAATCTAGAAAAATGGGGTGATGTTTAGGAGCTGCCAGAGAATGTATTAGAAGTTGCAAGTATGTCTGAACACACTCCTTCCAGGAAGCCTGGGAACAGTTAGATCTTTTTCTTCAAAAATGACATTCAAAAGCTGTTTGAAGAAAGCACAACCTTGTTCCATGTGTGCACTGTGCAACAGCTTGGACAGGGGAGGTTTGGTCTTTCACTGGGATCAGCAGATGTTAGTGCAACAGATGTGTACATATAAACACAAGAACTGCTTTTTAATTTGTAATTCTACATTAATTATGTGCTCCTTTAGCTTTCAGATGGTGGAAGCATTTCCTTATTAGCTTTAAAAATAAGAAAAATAACATGTTATTACCAAAAGACCAAAAATGAAAGCAACAAGCATTAGGGATTTCTAATAAACAGATTCTAACAGTGATCTGATGGGACATTTACCCTTCCTAAAGACGGGCAAGCCAATTATCTCAGCTATTGTCTCTGCTTGTTTCTTCTGGACAGGATCTCTGTTTTCGGCTCTGAAGCCCCCTGAAACGATCTTCAAGGTGATTTTTTGGCTTGGCTACTTTAACAGCTGCTTGAATCCAATCATCTACCCCTGCTCAAGCAAAGAGTTCAAGAGGGCTTTTATACAGATCCTAAAATGCCAGTGCCATCGTCGAAAGCAGTTGGGGTGGTGGGCCTACAGCTACAGAAACTGGAATCGGTGCTCCTTTGAACACCCTAGAAAGGACTCTCTGGAAGACAGCGGGAGTTTCCTAAGTGGCAGTCAGAGGACATTGTCTTCAGCATCTCCCAGCCCCGGCTACCTGAGCAAAATCACTCACCCACATATGGAGATGTGCACATTCCAGGAATGGAAAAACTCCAGCTCTTTCCTGAGCCCCTTAGAGGAAGACAGCAGACAAAAGGACCCATGCCAGTTCTTTACCTTTAATCTCTTAACAGAGCGCAATGGACATGTTCCTGCTGGCAGCCAAGCTTCTAGCAATCGGGACCATGAGGCCATCTGTGACACACTGAATGGGAAAACCAACTGTAGAGCAAACATGACGCTGGAATGAACAGATTCTAAACAGTCTGTTCTATTTGTACACTAACCGGTTTGACATTTAGCCCAGGTGAAGAAATGGACTTTTGCACGGTTTCTCAGTATAGCACTAGAAGGAAGATGGTGAGGAACAGGCAGATTTATGTCGCGAGAGCAGCAAAGTGTAGGGTAACCATATTCCCAGTCAATTGCCAGAGAGGCTACTGAAGCAAGAACGGAATGCAGGGAATGCGCTGCATAAACCCAGGGAAGTGCACATCCAATTATTTAGCTGTCATGGAAGTGCTGTGGAACAGCCAAACACATATGTATATAGAAAGAATGTATAAATATGGGGGTGGGCAGGGGAAATGTGTCCGAATGTGTGTGTGTACATGTGTGCTAGCCGCTTGTATGGATGCCTGAGAGTGGGAGTGAGCAATGCAGTGTTGTTGGTACCTCTCCAGGGTACTAGTTGCCGCCGATTTTGCCTGTAAATTCTTATTGTTGTTGTACTTCACTGTACATTAGCACTTTAGAAGTGGAAAACAATGTCAAAGATTAAAGTAATTTCACAACAATTTAAACAATTGCACCTATTACTATAGGACTGGAATTTAGTCAAGTTCCCTCATCATGATTTTCACTTCAAACTAAAACACTCATAGGGGTTAAGTTTACCACTGTAATTCCTAGGGTGCTCTTGAATCTCTGCAGTTGCTTCCTTTCCATGATTCCCTTATCACCGACATATGTAACTCCTCTACCCTTCACCATCTGTTTTTTTGAAAGTTTGAAAATACCAGCAATGATGAGAACTCACAATCTACATTTCAGCACATTAGTAAGTGTCCTGTAAACATACAGGCTACCAGAGGATCTGATTTCTAAAAGCAACACTCATAAATCACTCCAAATACCTCATAAACAGTGTCACAGACACAGCACAAAAGAGCACTGACTGCTGGAGGCCCAAAACCCAGACTTAGGACAAATATGCTGAGCCCCTGGTTCTTTCAGCACACTTTGAAAATAGTATTGCACATTTTGAGGCTTTTACATTGCCACTCAGATAAGAAGAGAAAGAGTCAAAACAATGGAGTAATGTAAGTTTCACACCCTTCAATATTTTTCAGCTCAGTAACACAGTACTGTAACAGGATTCCTGAGAATATCTTCTAGGACATTTTAGGTCATGTTTGGAAGTTATTTTCATCTCCTACAATTAAGCGTAAATCATAAAACTAATGACTGATTTATTTTTTTTTTTTACATGAAGTGGTACAAAATGTGAAAATTGGTATTTGCTTCTTCCTCCAACCAAGACTTTCCTTATTAGGAATTTTAGTGACTTTTTTTGAAGCTTGAAACAGAGAATGAACCATAAGCATATGTACTAAAACCACTTAGGGACAATTTAACAAAGCTAGGTCCCAAGGGAGAGCCATTTCCTTTTGTTGCCTGAAATGTGTATTCTCTCATTAAGTTGACATGGATGGATGTAGCTTGTGGTTAGTATATTTTGAGTCTTATTCTGATTGAAGTTATGGCCAATCTCCTATTTTAATAATTTCATTTTGATTGTGGGGAAGGCTGTAATTTCCTCTTAAAAGAACAATGCTTGTAAAATTTAAAAGTATTATAAAACAGGTAAAAAAATGCTTGTTTCTCATATATTGAGGTTGCCATAAAGACTCTAGCTGAGATATACAAGTATAAAGCTATACTCTTTGGCCCTCTAAATGGCAGAAAACAATATTTCTAACCTATTGTTATAATTATTACAGTTATAATTTTTGGAGGGAACCTACAGTAGTCTGTCAAACACTTTGGGGTTTTGTAAAGCTTCTTCAAAATTACTGTTAATTGGAAATAAATTTGTTTAATCTAACCACCTGACAGCACACTTCAGCCAAATTTTGAGTCACACATGATTTGTATAGTGTAAAGTAAATCCAAGTAATGTTATTCATATCTGAGAATTTCTAAGTGACACTGTAAACTTTCAGAATAAATTGCATTCCATTACTCTAAAGCCTTTAACTATGTAGCTCTCAGAGACTGATCATTCTTTTAATTAGATTCTAGTCCTAACAAAGGCTATGTAATCTCTGATTATCATTTAAGCTCTTTAAACAATGACATAATTCTCTAATTACCTATGAAATCAGATAGGCTTTTATGGCATACTGAAGTGACCTATACGTACTTATCATCTTTGTATATTTTTACATGTAATGTTACAAAACCTGCAAGGAAAGTTCCCTTACTGCTTTTTTAAAATCCATAAAAGGAGAATTTAAGCTATTTTAGTACTGAAAAAATAGCTTTCTCTAACATTGTAATTGATCAGGAGGAGAAGATATGCATTAACACCATGCTAGTCCATGCCATTTGGAATACCCAGTGCCTCTAACCTTATGAATCATATACCAAAATCCTCAGAGAGCAAAAAACCCCAAGACACACATCCCATAAGTCTTAAAGAGTAGAGAAGAGAAGGCATTCCACAGGCAGGTAATATTTCTCCCCAAGAGTTACACTGATCTTCCATAAGCTTGAGCTGGGAAGGCTGCTGGACTCTGCAAGGACAGCACCATGGACTCCTCCACCCCTGCTAGTTTGCTTTCTCTCACAGCCAGTCACAGCACTGCTGCTCTTCCCATGTCCCACCTAGCATGGGAGGCACATCTGAACTGCATGCAAAACATATGTGGCTCAAGAGTGACAGGATCTCTACCCTGCAGTGCTTCCCTTCCTCAAGCCCAAGTCCTGCAAGTATGTTAAGGGCAACCTCCCTGGGGACATGACTAGGTTATGCTGCCTTGCCAAGAAAACAGGAAACTAAAAGAAGCTCTGCTTCGGGATTTCAGATACTAGGGAAAAGAAGAAGGGAAGAAAAGTTTATTCACCATGTTGAAGTTGAAAAACAAGAAGTTGGAAATAATCACAGGCAACCAAAACAAACATACTCTGCCATTTCTAAGACACACATTTACATCAGGCCTATTTTTCTTAGCATTTTCATTAGGCTGCACCCTAAGGGATCATCTGACACAATCCCTAGCATCAGGCAGATGAAGGAATGACAAACTGTAGGCTCCAGTACAGCACCCAAGGATAACAGAAAGAAGTGAGAATGAGTTCAGGCAATACCTGATATATACTTCAGATATCATTTTAACAAACTGTGTGTCATTCTTAATCACTATCCAATTAAATTTTAAGACTGGAGAGCCTACAACTCATAACTATAACAAATATAAGATGGAAGGATTCCTAATATTCTCCAAAATACATTTCTCCAAGCTTTTTTCCAGGTATATGTACAGGTCATGTACATATCTTGCCACGCCAGGCTCTCCATAGATATGCATGATATTACATGCTTTCCCAAAAAAACCCAGATGACTGGTCTTCTAAGCTTTTTACTTTTTGTCTCATGAATTCCCATTTTTGTAGGGTCCCATACAGCCTGTTCTTAAAACTAAGAAACACTGTACCAGTGGGGACCCATCCATGCAAATATGCTAAGCTATGTAAGACTTCAAAAGAGTCATGTCACATCTGCTCATAAGCTACCAACAACACCTACTTCATCTCCAGCCATAAAACTGATTGTAAAAATGGAAAAAAACCCCATGGATCTGAAGGAGGGACCACAAATATTAGAGAGGAGAAAGTCTGATATGCCACCTTAAAACATGAAACCCTTGCAAGGCCACCTGACTTCTCTAGAACAAATCTATCCTAAATGTCTTTATTTTTACCACTGGAATCTTCTACGTCCTCTACCAGGCAAAGCCAGCCCAAATGAGGCCATACAAATCACCCTTGTCCCTTTGTTAGCCCTTCATTTGTTGCAATGTTTTCCTTTAAAGGAAAAACTATTTGGGTCAGGGCATCATCATCAAACCTTGTGGGACAAGCCCATATTAGCCCATTTTTTTAGTACAGCCAAAATTAATTTGACAAGCAGAACATCCGCAATCTAGTGAAATGGCAATTGGCACATGTATGTCTATCAGATACAACTATACTCTTTTATGCATATTTTTTATGCATATTAACAGACCTTCTGATGAACCCATTTTGTGGGCAAATAGATTTGCCTCCGAAGAGGAGTTGCTGCCATTTAGCACAGAAGGTGTTCATAAAACACTGTGAATTTCTCCAGGTTAAGCTACTGTGTGGAGCTTAATCACTAACTAGGGGCTTGTACAAAGCCATTCAGTTGAGAGGCACAGCTGTAATGGCTCACAGAGTATTGTTACAGCCCAGCTGCACATAAATTAAACCCATTAGGCTTCAGTGCACTCAGCTATCACAAGTGCTTCTTATTTTTGAAGAGAGTTATGGTAAAATCAATCCAACTGAATGAGACTGAAACTCTAGAGCATTCTACATTCTTTACTCTTTGGAAATGCAGTTTTCTATTATCTTTCCAAATATGACAGGGACAGAAGAGGGGACGGTAATGTTATAAAGTGCAGTTCTAGTTTGGAAAACGTAAAAATAGCAACTTTCTATTCAACAGATGTGCTCTCTGCACTCAGTTTCTGTGCTAGACTTTCACCTGATACAAATGAGCATAAAATTGCACAACACAGATGATATTCCACAGCAGCTATAGTATGAAAGTATTGGTATACTAACAACTGCTTATTCCTGCTAGTGGCCACAAACTAACCAGCTCATTCCCAGAAGAATAAACTGGATTCTGTTTTGATACACTCAACAACAGATAATGCTTACCTTTTTTTCCAAACCATGCTGGCAATGGTATGGCTCACACACTTTGAAGGGCAGAACATGGTATCGCAGGGTTGATTCATCAGACAAAGAAACATCACTTTCATCCTGAAGTGGTCAAACAAAATGCTTCAGAATATGAAGACACGTCATGCAAGTTTAAGTCACTTTAATGGAACCAAAATATGTTTCCACCCACTATGACTTTTGAGGGACTGGAAGGGGTATTAGTTACCTTCCTTGTGAAGCATGTTATTTGTGCAAAAGGTAAGTCGTGATTCC